GGCCTCGAGGACAGCCCCAAAGAGGCCTCCCAGAGCACTCCCAAGAAGGCCCCAAGAGGCAAACATCAGTGATGTTCTGTTGTTTTTGGGTGAATTTGGGGGTTTTCCTCTTTTCGGCTTCTCGACGCTCCAAGACGGCGGTTTTCTGGGCGTCCGAAGCCGCTTGGGAGGCTCCAAATACGCCCCACAACCATCCGAGACAGCCCCAAAACGGCACAACAGGGGTCCAAGATGGCCTTCAGAGAGCCCCATGGCGGTCCAAGATGGCCCCAAGACACCCTCCGAAGCATTCCAAATCGTGACCAGGTCGTTCAGGGAGACCGCGGTTGGAGGCAGGGTGGCCCGAGGAAGCCCCCAGAGGCCCCCAGAACACGCCCAGGAGGCCTCCAGAAGGCCTTTGGAAAGCCTGAACAACTTTTGTGAGGCCCCCAGAGGCTCTCCAAGGAGAAGCCTCCGCAAAAAAGAGCTGAGGAGGATGGGGAAAATGCGCAGGGCATGGCGACAATGAGGCAAAATAAGCATGGAGGAAGGATCACCAAACACATTATTATAGCGGCGATGCCGGAAAAAAACAACAAAGAGTTATCGCTAGATTGTCGGCTTGTCCTTCCTGTTATTCCGCCTGCATGCCAAGCTTCAAGGACCAAGGTGCATGGCGCGAAGCGCCACTGCAGTCGTATGTATGTATGTATGTATGTATGTATGTATGTATGTATGTATGTATGCATGTATGCATGTATGTATGTATGTGTAGGTATGTATGTATGTAGGCATGCATGCATGCATGCATGCATGCATGTATGTATACATAGATATATACATGCATATACATACATATATACACATATGCATATGTATATGCATACATACATATACCCGGCCAGTGTCGCCGACCCGGGACGCTTCCGTTGCTGGCGGAACACGATGGCGGTCATGACCGGCGACAACGGCGAGCGGTGAGGATGATGATGAGGATTGGGAATGGAGGCAACGGAGTAGGATGAGTGCGCCAGAGCCGAGGGGCGGTTGGTTAGAGAGAGAGAGAGAGAGAGAGAGAGCGCTGCTAGCCCCCCCCCCCCCAACGCACGGTGGACCCCAACGCCCCCACAGGGGACGGAAGAGGGGCCAACCGCTTGCCGAGAAGGAGGGCCAAGGCTAGGAACGCCAACGGCAGCAGCGGCCGCGGGTGCGGGGCGAAACGGCCCCACGAAGACGCCGCCCTCCACGAAGTCGGTTCACGGCACCAGCTTGTGCCACGCCCAGGACCCCGAGACGCATTCCCCGGGGTGAAGGGCCGCCTGGAAACGGCGCTCTCCCCCGTGGCTGAGGTACCCAAAGTCGACGAAGCCCCAGCAAATACGGATCCCGGACAAAACACCGAACCACGGCTGAATAAGATTCCGAGCGGCCAAACTACCACTCCTCATCACCGAAAACATCATCATTTTCGTTGTCATTCCGCGGCTCGCATATAACCGCAGGGGCGTCCAATTCAAGACCATAGTTTTTCAGAAGCACTGACGTGTCCAGGGCACGTTGGGGCACCGCTTTGGCCTTCCTCCTGCTGCTCTGGAAGACAGCCCTTGGCCCTGCAGAGGGCCAGCCGAACGAACACCGAAGGCCTCCTGGACGACTCGAGCTTCAGGTGCTTACTCACCGACTGGGCTTGGCGAAGATTCTCAAAGTGCTTCAAGTTTTCAACCACTGGGTGCCCGGCACAACAGGTAGCATCCAGGCCGTGGTGATTGATACTTCCCATGTCAGTGTACTTGCAGCAATAGGTACAGAACACCAGCAAATAATCATTCCCTACCACAGGGTATTCCAGCAAAGCATGACCATTGACAAACCACGGCCACGGCAAAGATTGCTCCCTGGACCCTGGACGCCGCATCCTCGGCCGTGACCGTGCTGCCCTCCTCGGGCTCAGGGAAGAAATAGTCACGGCAGCCTTCATCCAGGTCATAGAACATGACTTCGAAGTGGGCAAGGTAGCGATTCAGCTCAGCATGGAACTTGTGCGCTCCTCCGGATAGCCTCACATGCAGCTCAGGAACTCGATGCCGAGTGGCTCCAGCTTTCGCAAGCTCGTCCGCCTGCTGATTGCCACCCTTGTCAAACGCCGAGATGAGCCCTTCCCTGACAGCATGCATCGTCGTGTGAGCCGTGATGTGAGACACCTTGGCCCTCTGAAAGGCCTTGGTCATCGCGGTTCTCGACCAGAGATGGGCTCGAAGATTGCCGGGCCCAGCCGCTGCACCCAGGCGATGGCAACATAGCACCGATCCTCTGTAGTCGGATTTGAGCGCGTAAGATCCATGGACCAACTGGCTGGCCATCATGATCGCATAGTCTTCGCCGTCACGAGCAACCTGGGTCGGTCCCTCCTGCCTCGGCACAGCACCGCGAAAGTGACCCACGCACTGTCTCTCCGCATTAGATACCAGCACAGCCCATCCAGCCGAGCGGAGCTCGGAATAGCGAGCGTCAAATGCAGGTCCGTCCACCAAAACCGGGCCTGCTTCAACCAGCACTTCGCCAGTATTGATCAGGTCCACAAGATCTCGGTTTGGGTCGCCCTCCTCCGCCACAGGCCTGGCTGAAGTGTGGCAACAGACCTCTTGCAAAACGCTCCTGCCTGTCCTCCGTCTCCAGCATCAGGCGTTGGGCCGCCTGCTGTATCATGGGAGTGATCAGCGTCTGTCGTTGTGCAGCGAAAGCATCACATGGGGAAGCAGTTTGGCCAGTTTTGGGCTTCTCGGGGGGAGTCTTGGAGGCAGCTTGGAGGCCTCTAGAAGGCGTCTTGGACGCAGTTGTTGGGACTACTTTGGGGCCTGTAGGGGGAATCCGGGGGCCTCTTCGGGGCCAGTTGGAAACGTTTTGGGGCCTCTTCAGGTCTCTGGGGACCTGCTGGGGGCTTCCTGGGCCGTCTTCGGCATTTTTTACCGCCGTCTTGGCGCCCTGTCAGGCGCCTCTTGGGCCCGTCCTGGGGCCCTCTTGGGCCTTTCTGGGGGCCTCCTGGGCCATCTTGGGCCCTTATTGGGCCGTCTTGCAGCCCTCTTGGCGGCTTCTTAGGCCGTTGTGGAGCTCTCTTGGGGCGTCTGCGACGCCCTGAAGGCCCAAGAGGCGAATACGCTAAAACTATACGTTTTCATTTGGGACTGGGAGACTTTTGGCTTTTTGGGCCTTCTTTGGGAGGCCTTGTCGGGGCTTCTGAGGGCATCTTGGAGGCTTTGGAGCCGTCTTGGGGATAAATTGGGCGTCTTGTAGCGATCGTTCGGCGACTCGGGGCCCTCTTGGCCTATATTGGGGCCCTCGAGAGAAAACGTAAACAGAGGAGGAAAGGGAGAACACATGCGGGCCGATCTAGTGCTAGCGATTTTGGTAGGGTGGCGATCGACAGGACACAATCGACCTTGTTCTGCCGATACTTTGTCATACTGGGTCTAATTCTACCGAGAGGAGAGTACTGATGTTGACCACCAGGAAGAAGAGGAGGAGAAACAGGACGATGAGGAAGAGGAGGATCACGAGGAGGAGAAGGAGCAGCTGAAAGGGTAGGGAAGAGGAAAAGCAACAACAGCAGTAGAGAGAGAAGGAGGGAGAAAGGGGGAAAAGGATCAGGAGGCAAACGACGAGGATGAGGGAGATGGGAAAAGGGAGAGTGGAAGAGAAAAAAACGAGGGGAGGTAGAGAAGGACCAGACAGGACGTGGAAGAGACGGAATAGCAGTAGGACGACGAGGAGGAGAGAGCAGCGGAATCGGGGGACTTGGAAAAAGGGTCATAATTAGTAGCAGAGGGAGCAGGAGAAGGAGGGGGAAGACTAGCAGAGGGAGTTATATTATGAGGAGGAGGAAGAGGAGGAGGAGGACCACAGCAAACCCAAGACGCATGGATGATTCTGCGTAAAGTCCTCCCGTCCAACGCCCCCTCCCCACACGCCCCTACAGAAGCCAATCGAATTATTACATCCTTCCACGGCGGGAGTCGCACCCCTTGACAGACGAACGCCCCAGGGGGCATTCACAGTTAGGCGGGGCCCCAGTTTTACGGACCCACCTCCCATCCTTCCAGCCAGGAGAACATCTCATAGGCCAGGCCACCGAGCGCCAGAGGAGTCAATCGGAAGTTCCGTATTGAAGAGGGCGTGCCCTCCAACAGTGTTGCCGCTGCATACCTTCAACGCTCCCGACGTCGAGCTCTCGGAAGTCTTCAGCGAGAGTCCCATTGTGGAAGCGAGCCGCCCTCGGTCCGTGCAAGTGCTGCGCAATGTTGAGGTTATGACCACATCGCTCGAGAACAGGAACCCCATGTTAGAAAGGACCCCCCCTCGATCCGTGAAGCCACTGTAAGGTGTCGAAGCCGAATGTGCGCGGCACCGCGGCAGGAACCTCATTTTGAACACATCGTGTGCTCCATACGTGTAGCTGATGGATCTGTTCAGGACGCTTCTGCGCGGCGCCAAGGCGACAGCCCAATGTTGGAGAAAAGCGGCCCGCCCTACGTCCGTCCAAGTGTTGGAGATATGTATAAAACGAGAGCGCGCGGCGCCGAGGGGAACATTTACTGGTGGAACTGTTGGAAATGCCAGGCTTCGAGATCATAAGTTGTGAGGAGGTATTCCGTGAATCGCCTGGCCCGCCCTAGCGACACGTCTGGTGGTGCGACAGCGTATAGTCATTTGCGAGGGAGAGGGATGGAGGAGGGAAATCGAAGAAGCAGAAGAAGGAGCAGGACGGCCAGGTGGATTCATAAAGAACAGAAGAGGGAGGAAGCGGAGGAGAAGGATGATGAGGAGGAGGAGAGAGGAGGATGAGCAGACACGCCGCGGAGCAGGAGGAGGAGGAGGAGCAGGAGGAGGAGGAGGAGAGAGGAAAGGAGAGGAGAGCAGAGGAGGAGGAGGAGGAGGAGGAGGAGGAGGTGGAGCAGGATGACGACGACGACGACGACGACGACGACGACGACGACGACGACGACGACGACGGGGACCAAGTCCAGGTCGCACGGCTTCCCCTCTGCCCGGGCGTGGGTGGAGTCCGCGAGCGGCGAGCGCGAGGGACTGGTGGCCGAGTGGCCCGCGAAGCACTGCAACGAGGCGCCTCCCTCCTCGAGGAAGAGGAGGAGGAAGATCGAGGAGGGGGAAACGGAGGATCGAGGATTTGTTGTTACCGTCGCTTCGCGGGGAAATCAACGGAATCGGTGATTCAAACTGCTAGCAACTCTTGCAAAACCAGTTCCGGCGAAACCAGTCGCCGGCCAAACCAGCCGCCGGCAAAACCAGCCGCTGGCGAAGCCAGCCGACGGTACAAACGAACGGGCGAAACCAGCGCCAGCGAAAGCAGCCCACGCGGCCGCCTCGAGGGAGGGGACCGAAGCGCCGGGCTCCGGACGGCCGTCGGAGGGAGGGGAGGAAGGAGCTGTCTTTTGGGTGCTGCGTCCGAGGCTTTTCCAGGCCCGGCATAGGAGGACGAGCTGGAGTACAGAGCCAGGTGAAGCCAATCTCGCGCAGGGAACACGCTTTCACAGGTCACGGCACTGCGTGGCCCGGCGTCGGGTTGTGTCGTGATGCTCTGCTATGCTATGCTCTGGCGCTCAAAGCAACGCAGCGGATCTGCAAAGCACTGCACTGCACTGCAGTCCCTTGCTTGGTTTGATTCGATGTGATATGTTGTCTTTGCTGCTTGATGTTCGTTGCCTTGGTCTCGTTTGCGGTTAGTTAATTTGTTTGATCATGTTTCTAGATTATCTTGAAGTGTGCAGTGCCTTGCGGCACATATCAGTGCAGGGCAATGCATTGCATTGTTTGTGTATTGTTTTGTGTCGCATTGCATTACCATTGCAGCGCAAACCAGCACTCAACAAAGTAAGCCAGTAGTAACCCACATGAAGTGAAAGTAAACGAAATGCACTAGCGAAGTGCAACGCAAAACTAGGCAATACATGCGCTGTGAAGCACCGCAGCGCGAATCAACGCAACGTACAACACAACAAACAGTTGTTTCCTCCTTTCTTTGAAGGCCAAAACAGCAGGTTATCAGAGCCTGGCTTGACATATTCTGGCAAGTTTGGCTTGTACGAAGGAGTCCCAGAATACAACCAGACACAATGTATCTTTGCATTCAAGCGGTACGCGTGGTGTTTTCGCACAGTCGGAAACAGAGGCGTCGTTCGTGACAGCGTCGGCCTGCCCCGCGTGGTTGGTTGTGGCAGGTCCTGAAGAGGATAGCCAACCACACGCCGAAACGCTGGAGACGGACTGGACCAGGGGTGCCCGAAAGAGTGGGCATACCCAGTCCTAGACCAGAAAGGACACCAAAGGAAGTTGCGCAGTCAACAGCTTCTCGGCGACCCTGGCGCGGCATAGCCGTTGCCAGGCGAGCTTGAGGCGGGTGTACAAACAATGCCTTGTATGCTGCACTAATATGGATATGCGTGGCAAATGACTCAAACACGCACTGCCTTGCAATCGCGTGCCAAACACACATTATGCAAAACAACACGCTGCAAAGTAAGTTGGGCGCAATGTGAAAACAACAAATAACATGCAAATAAACACATTGCAAAGCAAGGCGCCGCACTGATTTACAACGCAATGCCAATCAACGGAAACCAACCTACAGACATGCCCCCTAACGCAAAGCTGTGGCAACTCGTCGCATGGTAATGCAGATGTGCATTGGTACCTAGCCAATGTAAAGCAGCGCGCCGGATGCGACGCGAAGGTGCAGCACTGCAAAGCATAACAAGGCAATGCGACGCACATCAATGCGTGATTGAAAATGCAATTCAAAGACACGCACTGACATCCATTGCGGCACAACAGAAATGAATATATGCCACCTTGTGCCTCCTCCCGCTCCTCCCCACCTCCTCCTCCTCTTCATCCTCTTCCTCCTCCTCCTTCTCCTCCTCTCCTCCTCCTCACCGCCTCCTTCCTCCGTCCCCTCTGTACATCCTCCCTCCTCCATCCCCCTCCTCCGCCCTCTTCCCTCCGCCCCCCATCACCACCCAATCCTTCATCTCTTCTCCCTATTCCTCTCCCTTCCCCACCCTCCCTCCCTCTCATCCTCCTACCTCCTCATCCTCCTTCTTCTCCTCCTTCTCCTCCTCCTCCTCCTCCTCCTCCTCCTTACCACACCCATTCCTCAATCCCTTCCCCTCTCAGCACAAACAACCCCCAGACGTGTCCGTTGGCCGGATCGGGAGTTTCGCGTGAGAATTTCGCACCATTTAGGGTCTTTGCTTTTGAATTCTAGAACAGCTTCAAGGATGGAGGTTGGGTGGTGTTCAAAGTGTGGCTCTCGCATTAGCGCCGCGCACATTCGTATCAAAAGTTCGCAGCATTCCTTTTCAATATGTTGTTTGCGCTTTAGCGCTGCGGACATTCGTTGTAAACGTTCGTAGCAGATTCAAGGGGTCGTTGTGTTGAAGTCGCAAGAATGGCGTTCGGGCACGGTTCAGTACTGTCAGGTCGCAACAGTCAGGTTGATTCGCGGCGTTGAAATCCCAGCAAGGGTGTTTTGGCACGGTTCATGATTGTCAGGCCGCAACTGTCACGTTCACTCGTTTCATTGCAGTGCCAGGAGCATTTTTTGTTGGTTCGGTTTTGGATTTCCACGTACTTTCAGAAATTGAGGGGTGCCCGAATCTTACCAAACAAATAATGCGGGACTGATTATGCTTGGTGTCCTCGCCAATCATCTCCCTTTCTGAGTGATTTCATTTAAGGGGGCTCTGAAGAGGGAGCTTGGAGGAAGGGTCTATTGCAACGTCATTGGGACGACTTCGGCTTACAATGGTTCTCCTCCTCCTCCCCCTCCTCCCCCTCCCCCCTTGCCTCCTCCTCCTCCTCCTCCTCCTCCTCCTCCTCCTTCTCCTCCTCCTCCTCCTCCTCCCCCTCATCTCTCCTCATCCTCCTCCTCCTCCTCCTCGTCCTCCTCCTCCTCCTCCTCCTCCTCCTCCTCCTCCTCCTCCTTCCCCCCTCATCCCTCCATCCGCCCCTTTGCCCTTCCGTCTGCGTGCGACACCCGCTCCCTCTCCTCCTGCCTCCCGCCTCCCTCCGCCCGCCCGGCGAGGCGCCCTCGTGGTACTCCGCCAGGCCCCTCGGCCTGCCCCTGGCGCTGCACCGCGCCTCCGGTGCCGTGCTCTGCCTCGAGCTGCGGGACGGCGCCGAGGTGCTGGGCTCCCTGCGGGTGCCCCTGAGGCCTCCCTCCTCGTCCTGGTCCTTCCCCTCCTCGTCGTCCTCCTCCTCCTCCTCCTCCTCCTCCTGCTGCCCCTCCCCCTCCTCGTCCTCCCGGTCCTCCTTACTCCCCCTCCCTCCCTCTCGTTCTCGTGTCCCTCTCCTCGTGATCCTCCTCTTCCTCCTCCTCCCTCCCGCCCTCCCTCCGTCTCAAGCGTCTCGGCTCAGGCCCCCTGGGTACCCCCGTTCGACTCAAACTTGCGTGGCATGGGCGTGCTGGCCTGTTGGGAGAAGAGTTGCCCACCTCCTGTAGCGGTAGCAGAAGCAATGAGGTCGGCTTCGAATGCCATGGTTCTTGCACGCTTCCCCGTGGAAATCACAGGCTCGCATCGTTTAGTGGTGGCGCTGGTATTCGTCGAGTGGGTGGACACTGTGCAAACGTGTATCTCATGCTCTCTCGCATCCAGGAAAAGCAAGCTAGGGTCGGTTTCAACGCTGCGTCCACCGCTTGTCGTAGTGGTTCCACAGTGGGTTGCTTCTGGTCAGGTCGTTCATGCTTGCTCTTCCTGTGCATCATCGGCGCGGTCCTTCCCAGGGGCGGTGGGAGCGGATGTCCCGACAGGTTGTCTCATACCATCCATGTCATCGGGTTACCTTGAGGTGGTGCGAAGCGGAGTTTGGTATAAGGAGAGCGGGCCATAGTTGGCGACGTACGTTGTGTAATTGCTCGGTTGCGGCAGTCAGCGGCGTGTGTATGTGTGTATGTGTGTGTTGTCATCCTTGGCGCAGCTATGTGAAAGTCTCTAGCGTTGATTCTCTCGTATTCGGTTGGTCGGAAGCGAAGGGATGAACATGTTGTTGATTGCTTGCTGTGGTGTGGATGTGGCGCCGCATTCTCGGATGCGAAAAAGCGTGTTCTACCGCTGCTGGCGGAAAACCGGGAGGGGCACTGGGGGGTCCCAACCCGTCCCCCCCCCCCCTCGACAACCGGGGGGGGATCACTACCGGTTCGAACCCCCTCCCCTCCCAGTCCATCATGAAAAGGGGGGGGGCACTACCGGTTCGAACCCCCCCCCCTCCCCCCTCGCCGCCGGCAAACGATTCCTGCACCTCGGGACAGATGGCCAGGGTGGGGATACTGGGACAATGGTGGGGACGGTGGTGGCGGGGACAGCGGTGTGGGGGCAGTGGGACAGTGGTGCGGACAGTGGTGGGGACGGTGGTGGTGGGGACAGTGGTGAGGGGACAGCGGGCCAGTGGTGGGGACAGTGGGACAGTGGTGGGGACGGTAGTGGTGGAGACAGTGGTGAAGGCGGTGGTGAGGACGGTGGTGGGACAGTAGTACAGTGGGGAGAGTGGTGGGGACAGTGGGGCAGTGGTGGGGACAGTGGGGACAGTGGGACAGCACAGTGGGACAGCGGCGGGGACAGTGGGGACAGCGGGACAGTGGTGGAAACAGTGTGGACAGCGGGACAGTGGTGGGGACCGTGGGGAAAGTGGGGAGAGTGGGACCGTGGTGGGACAATGGTGGCGACAGTGGGGACAGTGAGACACTGGTGGGGGCACTGGTGGGGACAGCGGGAACAATGGTGGGAACAGTGGGGACAGTGGGACAGTGGTGGGGACTTTGGGACAGTGGTGGGGACGGTGGTGGTGGGGACAGTGGTGTGGGGACAGTGGGAATGTGGTGGGGACAGAGAGACAGTGGTGGGGACAGTGGTGGTGGGGACAGTTGTGAGGGCGGTGGCGAGGACGATGGTGGGGACAGTGGTGGGGACAGTGAGGACAGTGGTGGGATCAGTGGGACAGCTCAGTGGGACAGCGGCGGGGACAGTGGGACAGTTGGACAGTGGGGACATTGGCGACAGTGGGGCAGTGGTGGGGACCGTGGGGAAAGTGGCGAGAGTGGGACCGTGGTGGGAACATGGGGACAGTGGGGACGGTGGTGGGGACAGTGGGGACAGTGGTCGTGGGGACAGTGGTGCTGAGGACAGCAGTGGGGGATGTGGCGCGGACGGTGGTGGGGACCAGGGAGTCGTTTGCCGGCGGTGAGTGGTTGGGGGGGGTTTCGAATCGGTAGTGACCCCCCCGCTGGTTTTCCAGAGGGGGGTGGGGTCGAACCGGTAGTGACCCCCCCCAGTTTTCCGGAGGGGGGCGGAGGGGGGGTTAGGGGGGGGGGGTCCAGCAGGGGTGGGGGATTTTCGAAGGAGGGGGGGGGGGACCCCCGGGTTCCGGAGGAAGAGGGGTGGGAATTTTGCCACAGTAGAACGGCGGTGGATCACGCTTTCTCTCGGATACACATGCCTACGCTTTCTACGTAGCGGACGTCTCGCAACATGGAGGAGTTCACCCGTGGTATTATTCCAATGTTCCTCGGGCTTCTTATTTTGTCCTCCGTATACGGGGTGTTGTGCATGACCTTCCAGCTTGACGGATTTTTCGACAAGTTCATGCGTGGCATCTAGTTGTCGATGACATTGCGTCGCGATCGGTATTGTCTTGTCCTGTTTTGTTATTCCTTCCATCCATCCCTCCCTCCGCCTCCGATCCCTCCCCCTCCCCCTCCATCCTCCACCCCCTGCCTCCTCGTCCTCCCCCTCCTCCCTCCTCCCCCTTCCTCCCTCTCGTTCTTCTGCCCCTCTCCTCCCCCTCCTCCTCCTTCCTCCTCCTCCTGCTCCTCCTCCTCCTGCTTCTGATGGACGTTACCCTTGATTCTCTGACCCCTGGCAGCGAGGAGTGGCGTCGGGCCAAAGGCAACGACGCTGCTGACAGACTTGCGAAGATAGCCGCTGCCAGGGGACCCCAGATGAGTACCAACGAGCTCGAGCTGCAGGCTTCACAGACAGCCACACTCGACAAGTATATCAGATATGTTTCCGAAGCCCTCCAACTCTGGCCAACGGTAGCACCGAAGGCTGGATCCAGAGGGCTTGCCAAACCGTTTAAACCCGTCTGTCGGAGCGGCCGCAGCTCAGCCCGCCTGGGAGATCGAAGCGCCTTGGCTTCCGATCCCTCCTCCTCCTCCTCCTCCTCCTCCTCCTCCTCCTCCTCCTCCTCCTCCTCCTCCCTCGGCTCCTGAGGATGAGCTCAATGACCCCAGGCGGGCACACGTTTGGCACAAGTGGGGCAAAGGTTGGCTCTGCACTGCCTGCCGCCAGAGGTGCTCGACAGACCATAGTTTGAAGCGACGCGAGAATTTGCGTTGCCCTGGATTTTGTGCCTACCGCAGTGAGCTGCTGGCCAATGCGCAGGGCCATCAACTTGATTTCCTCTAGTATATTGATGACAGGCCGTCGAGCAGAATTTGGTGTTGGAAGTGTGGCTCGTTTACAGAGGGAACCACCGGGTTCCAAAGAGTTTGCCCCGAGCCCCCCCTACACATGGTCGTGCGTTGCAACGCCAGCGTGCTCGGGAAGGGAGGCACCCCAAAGGTTCCGCGAGTTCGACCATCTTTTTGAAGAAGCCAATCCCGCTGGCACAACTGGTGAGAGAATTGGCTGAGCTCCTTCTCCTCCTCCTCCTCCTGTTCCTTCTATTCCCCCTCCTCCTCCTCCTCCTCCTCCTCCTCTTCCTTTTCCTCCTCCTCCTCCTCCTCCTCCTTCCTTCTCCGTTTCCTCCTCCTCATCCCCCAGTTTCTTCTTCTTATTATTCTTCTTTTTCCTCCTCCTCCTCCTTCTCCTCCACTTCATCGCTCCCGCTTGCGCTGCAGGGGGGCGACGAGGAGGGGGAGGGAGAGGAACAGGGAGGAGGGAGGAGGACGACCAGGAGGGTGATGGGGATGATGAGATGGAAGGGAGAGGGAGGTGGATAGAGGAAAGTGAGGGAGGATGAGGAGGATGAGGAGGAGGAAAATGGAACATGGAGACATATACACCCGCCCCCACGGTGCCAACCCATGCCAAACTGGCGGCCATGTCACTCGCTACGGCTTGACAGCGAAAGCGAGCGTCGAAACTTCCCTTTTGAACAGAGGGTGGAGGGGGAGGGAAAGGCGGAGAGGGGAGGGGGCGGTGAGGAGGACGCCGCTGCGCGCCCAGCCGACGAGCTAGCCGGCGGGGGCGCTGCAGGGTGCGAGGGGGGGGCGCCTGCAGTGAAGGCGTTGAATTGGGGACCGCTTTGGGCACACGCGGCGGCGATTGCGATGAGTTCTTTGCGTTGGCTGGTGCATCTCCGCGGCCGCGCCAACCCAAGCGCGCGGACAGCGGCCAGCTAGTTTGGCGCGACTGACGCGGCCGCGGTGGCGCTGACCGCTGGGCGTCCCCCAGCAGGCACTGCAGTGCGAGTCGGCGACTTGCGCGGGCGCGGTATCATGGCAACGTCGACAGCGGTAGACACGATACTGATAGTAGCGATGCTGGGCGCGATGTTGACAACGACGACGTCGCGGCCAGCGCGGGTGCCGATGCTGATCGCGCCGGCGACGATGACGGCGCCCCCGCGTCGGCGACGAAGGTTTCGGACAGAGTTCGACATGCGCGCGCGGCCGACGCGCGAGAGTGGCCCGCGTGGCAGGCATGATCTGACGCGGATCGTGCCCCCCCCACCCCAGCACGCGCGCAAGGGCGTGCGAATGATTTCGGCATGCGGAACCAGAGGCCCGTTTGGCAGAATCCAGTGAAACGGCTGAAAAACCTATGGTTGTCTTAAGTATCCGCAAGAGCGCGAGCGCACGCTTTTTTGAACACAGATGTTGCGAAACCATGTTTTTGCTTCTCGGTTGTGAAATCGCCACGCAACCGAAGGTTGTTGACGGATTTCGGCATGCGCGCGCGATGACGCGCACGCGTGTGCTACGTCACGCAGTTTGGAAAGGGTTCTCGCGACCGCGCAAGGGCGTTCGAACGTTTTCGCGATGCGCGCGCGCGAAGCCCGTTTGGTAGCATTGTCTGAAAACCTTTTTGTTACATGGAAAGCTATGGACAAAACGGATGGTGATGTTAAGAATTCGCGAGAGCGCGCGCGCAAGCTTCCTTGAAAATCCGCGTTGCGAAACCTTTTGTTTTTTATATGTTGCTTGGACACTTGGCTTTCAAACTTTACGAGACAGAAGGTTGTTGAAGGATTCCGGCATGCGCACGCGACAACGCGCGCGTGCGCGCACTTCGTCACATCGTTTGCAAGTTGTTTGTGCAAAGTTATGTTTCTTTCCTAAACGAGTGCGCGCGCATTGCATTTTTTGCCGGGGATCGCGGCGGGGCTACCCGCTCGGTTGGGATGGTACGAACTCATATTCAGGATGGGCGATGGGCAGAAACACATGTAAATTGCAATACTCGAGGCCGAGTTGATAGCCCCGGGGGGGTAGCAACTTATTTTTTGAAGAGAGGAGAATTTATTTATGTTCGCAGTGAGTAGTCAGCACCATTGTTCACGCAACCATCCCACCCACCCCCCCGCAACTTGGTTTGCAAAACCCATGTGGCGGCGACTGCGATGAGTGCTTGGTGGTGGCCGGTGCGTCTCAATGGCTGCGCTAGCCCGCGCATGCTCGCGCGCGCAGCGGCCAGCTAGTTTGGCGCGACTGACGCGGCCGCGGTGGCGCTGACCGCTGGGCGTCCCCCAGCAGGCACTGCAGTGCGAGTCGGCGACTTGCGCGGGCGCGGTATCATGGCAACGTCGACAGCGGTAGACACGATACTGATAGTAGCGATGCTGGGCGCGATGTTGACAACGACGACGTCGCGGCCAGCGCGGGTGCCGATGCTGATCGCGCCGGCGACGATGACGGCGCCCCCGCGTCGGCGACGAAGGTTTCGGACAGAGTTCGACATGCGCGCGCGGCCGACGCGCGAGAGTGGCCCGCGTGGCAGGCATGATCTGACGCGGATCGTGCCCCCCCCACCCCAGCACGCGCGCAAGGGCGCGACTCGGCCGCGGTGGCGCTGACCGCTGGGCGCATCCCAGCGGGCACTCCAGCGCGAGTCGGCGACTTGGGCGGGCGCGGTATCATGGCAACATTGACAACGGTAGACAGGATAATGATAGTGGCGGTGCTGGCGACGATGGTGACGGCGGCGACGGCACGGCCAGTGACGGCGCCCATGCTGATCGCGCCAACGAAGATGACGGCGTCCTCGCGTCGGTGACGACGGTTCCGGAAGGAGTTCGACATGCGTGCGCGGCCGACGCGCGAGAGTGGCCCGCGTAGCATGATTCCGACGCGGACGCCCCCCCCACCACCACACCCCCCCACACACACACACACACACACACACACACACACACACACACACACACACACACACACACACACACACACACACACACACACACACACACACACACACACACACACACACACACACACACACACACACACACACACACACACAGCACGCGCGCGAGGCCATTCGAATAATTTTGGCATGCGGGGGGGCCCGCTTGGCCGCATCCAATGAACAGGTTGAAAGCATATGATTATTTCAGAATTCGCAGGAGCGGTGGCGCAGGCTTTACGACGATGGCGCCGTCCTCGCGTCGGTGGTGAAGGTTCCGGAAGGAGTTCGACATGCGTGCGCGGCCGACGCGCGAGAGTGGCCCGCGTGGCATGATTCCGACGCGGACGCCGCCCCCAGCACGCGCGCGAGGCCATTCGAATAATTTTGGCATGCGGGGGGCCCGTTTGGCCATATCCAATGAACAGGTTGAGAACATATGATTATTTTCAGAATTCGCAGGAACGCGGGCGCAGGCTTTACGACGATGACGGCGTCCTCGTGTCGGTGGTGAAGGTTTTGGAAAGAGTTGAGCACGTGCGCGCGGCCGACCCGGTAAAGTGGCCCGCGTGGCATGCTTTGACGCGGATCTGGCCCCCCCCCACCAGCGCGCGTGCAAGGGCGTTTGAATGATTCCGACTAGCGGCGCGAGTGGCACGGTTGGCAGAATGCAATAAACATGTTGACAACACTTCTGGCCTTATTGAGAACCCGCAAGAGCGCGAGCGCAGGCTTTCTTGAAAGCTGTTGTTACGACACCAAATGTTTCAAACATGTTTTTGGGACACTAGACTTTGACATTATTGCGATACCTACGGTGCTTGAAGGATGTCGGCATGCGCGGGCGACGACGCGCGCGTGTGCACTTTGTTTCATCGGCGCGCGCGTGTGCACTTTGTTTCATCAAGGGCGTTCGGACGATGCGGACATGCGCTCGCGAAACTCCTTTGGTAGCATGTTGAAAACCGATGGTCAAACAATTCGCAAGAGCGCGGGTAAAAACGTTTACTTAGTTATACGTATAACTATACCGGTGTGTATAACATATGTGTTCATATGTGTTCGGCGTATTCGTTTTTGACATTTTTGCGAAACCTACGTGTGTAAAGGATTTCGGCATGAGCGCGCAAAGGCGCGCGCGTGTGCACTTCAGCTCATATGTTGCGAAAAAGGTTCTTGCGACAGCACGCGCGCAAGCGCGTCCGAACGAGATTTCGACATGCGCGCGCGAACCTTGTTTGTAGCATTTTATGAATTTGTTGGAAGCCGATGATTTTCTTAATATTCGCAAGAACACGGGCGAAAACGTGTTTTCTGAAGATCTTGGTTGCGAAGCCATGTGTTTTCATATGTTTTCGGGACGCTCGATTGTGAAATTCTTGCAAAACCTTGCATTTTTGTGTGCAATCCAGGACGACGACGAGGCGGCGACGGGGTGGCGACGGTGGCCACATAGCCTCCAGACCGAAGACTCGGCCCAAACGACGGGCGATGACGAGGCGACGACGGGGCGGCGATGACGGCACATAGCCGCCAGACCGAAGACACGACCCAGTTCTTTAGAGCAGAAGTAAGAACCCTTAAGTTCAAACATTGTTTGGAAAACGTGGAAGAGGAATGCAGGAAGAGGAGGAGGAAGAGGAGGAGATGGTGAGAATCGGGGGAGCCTCACTCCTCCCCCTCGTCTGCTTCCTCTTACCCCCCCCCTGCTTACCGTAGGACTTTTGGCTCAAACCATGTTGGGTCAAGCCGGTTCGGATCACGTTCAGAACGTTGGACGCGGTTGCCCCGCCTGCTCTGCGGGCGATGAGCGCCCGCCCGCTCCGCAGCTAACGCCGCTAGCGCTGCCCGCCTGCTGTTGCCGCTGCGCAGCTGCGGCGGCAGCCGGGGCATCACGCCCGCCGCTCGTTCGTGTGAGGGCTGTTGTTAGGCTGCCGGTTTAGCGTCCTCCTCGTGACGGTGGCGCCCGTCATCCTTCCGACGGCCAAGCTGACAGGGCCCGTCGCGGGGCATGGAGCGGCTGCCCGCCGCGTGCCGCTTGCCTCTGGGCGACCTGGCGGGGGTTTGCCTGGCGGTGTTGCTGGAGATTGCGGAACTCGGCGTCGCGGAGTGCTGTTGCGGCTTGCCTCCTGGGTCTGCAATGGCTCATGGTGCTGCCCGCGGTGCTCGTCTTGCAGCTGCCTTCCGTGCTGGCGTGCTGGCGGGCCGCGGCGCGGGTCCACCGCTCGTGGACAGCATCACGGGGCCATCTTCGCAGCACGGTTTCGCCCAGGTTCGGTGTCAAAGCACAGCGATTAGCTTAGGTGACCCCCTGTGGCGCCGAAGGTGGGCGCCGTGGAGGTGTCTGCCACTCGTGGGTTTTTGTGCCCGCGGAGTTCCTCCGCCCCGTTTTCGTTCGTCGTTGTCGGCGTCTTCCCCCGTTTCCGACGTACGCTATGCTTTGATTCATTGGCTTACGCCACACCGCCGACCCCGTGGGGCGGCAGCAATCGTCCCCCGCGTGGCCTGTCTGGACAGCCTGTGAGGCCCCTCTAGACACGTTTCGGAGCCCTCTTAGGACCGTCCTGCCGTTCCCCCGGGCCGTTGCTATGGTTTCTGGGGCCTTCGTGGGGCGCCCCGAGGCCGTCGTGGAGCCTTTTGGAAAGTCTCTCGGGGTGCCAGAGGTCGATCTTGGAGGTTTACTGGGCCGCTGTGGGCCTCGTGGAAGCCCAAGAAGCGAATATGCTGAAAATGTACGTTTTCCCTGGGAAATGGGGCGGTTTTTGCTTCTGGAGGCCTGCTTGGAGCGCCGCGAGGTCGCGTATGCAAACGTATTGGACGCCCATGGGGCTATCTGGAGGCAATCGTGGGCGGTTTGGACCGAATCGTCCCCCGCGTGGGCCGTCCGGACAGCCTTTGGGAGCCCTCTTGCCCCGTGTTGGAGCCCTCTTGGGACCGTCCTGCGGCTTTCCTAAGCCGTTGCTATGGTTTCTGGGGCCTTCGTGGATCGCCCGGACGCCGTCTAGGAGCCTTTTTGGGAGCCTCTTGGGCTGGCGAGGGTCGATATTGGAGGTTTCTTGGGCCGTTTTGCGCCGCGTGGAAGCCGAATGGGCGAATGTGGTGAAAATGTACGATTTCCATAGGGAATGGGGCGATTTTTGCTTCTGGAGGGCCTCTTTGGGGCGCCCCGTAATACTGTTTCAAACGTCTTGGGGACTTATGGAGCAGTGTGGAGGCAATCTTCGGCGTTTTGGGGCGATCGCTCGTCGATTCGTAGCTCTCTTGGACCGTTCCGGGAACCTTTGGAACCTTTTTTGGCCCGTTTCGGGGCCTCCTGAGGCTCCAAGTATGCGGATGATGGATTTGTCCCCCCCCCCCCCCTTTCAAACCAGCCGGACCAGGCCCCCGGGGGAGGAGTTTCGGGCGGAGGAAGCGTATCACACGCCGCGACCCCAAGGGGTCGGCGGATTTGCGCAAAGCGTCCACAGCGTACTCTTCCCCCTCCCACTCCCGCTCATCCGTCCTCTTCCCGGACATCCGACATCATGGTTCCTTCGTGGCGGGGCCCCTCGCCCTTGTAATTCCACTGGCGCGACCCGGCGTGCATCCCAGATAGTTTTTAGGGCTCTTGGCCCGAGTCGGGCTTTCCCCCGGCAGGAACTTTGAAAAAACGTGCCGTCGCCATTCTCCCATGCCGCGGGATGCCCCCCCCCTCTCAGGGACATCGAGCCCCACCGTCCGACGACGCGCCAGCTCGAGATGGAGGCGGAGCAGGAGGCGGAAGAGCGGTGCCGGGTCACTTTCCAGCTCTTGGACTCCCGCTCGGTGCTGCACCACCGCAGGGTCTTCCTCGTGAGGCACGGGGAGAGCGTGTGGAACAAGGCCTCGGCGGCGGCCGGAGGGGCCCTTCGGGGGCCACATGCGAACCCTACCCCTGCCCCCTGCGATTTCTGAGGGGGAGGGTGGGGTTCACCTCGTTCGGGAGCTCCCGAGCGAAGCGAGCCCCACCCTCCTCCTCAGAAATCGTGGGGGGTAGGGGCAGGGTTCGCACGTGGCCCCCGAGTATGGGGCAAGGCCTCGGCGGCGGCTGGAGGGCCCCGGATCGAGAATCTCGGTTTGGGGATGTTGCTGGCTGATTGAACGGCTTCCACCGCCCCGCCCACCTCTGGGGGTGCGAGGCTCGCAGTGCGGGCCGGCCGGCGACGTCAGCCTTGGGGCTTGTTGGGGGCCTTTGTGAAGCGCTCTTCGGGCGATCTTGCGGACTTGTGTCGGGTATGGCCAGGATCCCAGGCAAGGGGGCCCGGTTAGTGGTATGGCCCTGGAGCCCCTGAATGGGCCAGAAGCACTAAACCAGGTCTGCCGCAGCTGGTGTTTTCTCGGGTGACGGCAGCTCCGGTTGGTGGAACGGGGCGGGGGGGCGTCCCCCAGTACACATCACTAAACCAGGTCCCACTAAACCCGGTTCTGCCAACGCCCGATTGGGGGCCCCTTAGCCTGTCTGAGACACTCGGAAGATCGAGAAGATGAGCACGTCAGACGGATTGAAAATTAACGGCAAGCCTGCTTTGTTCGCCTCGTTGTGGGCCCTCGGCGGGATCATCCAAGGATTCTCTTGGGCCTTCTCGGGAGCCTCTGGGGCTCTGGGGTTGTGTTGAGTTCATCTGGGAAGCAGTCCTGCCCCTTCGGAGGCCGTCTCGGGGGGGCTCTCAGGACCGTTGGGGGGCCTTCTTTGGGCCGTCAGGGACCGTCTTGAGAGTCTTTTGGGCCGTCTTGGGACCCTCTTGAACATTCCTGGAACCGTCTTAGGAGCCGCTTGAGGCCACCTTGGGGAAGCCTTGGGGCCTTTGAAGGGCCACCTTGGGAAATTCTCGGGCCGTCTGGGGGCCTTTGGGTCCCTTGGGGCCATTGGCTCACTTGGAGGCATGTCAGGAGTCTTTGGGGTCATCGTGTGAGGGAGACGGGGCCCCTTCGAGTTCCCCTTCTCGGGCTCCTCGTGGGGGCCTTTTCGGGGCCTTTCGGGCCATCCTGGTGCCCTCCTGGGCCGTTGTGAGACCTTCTTGGAGGTTTTTGGTCGGTATTCGGGCAAGCTTGGGGCCTTCGTGGGCTGTCGGCTGCTGTGTGAGGCTGCGTGTGATTGGCAGTCGGACTGGAGTGATGCGTTGCTTGGCGAGTTCTCTGACCTTCCCTTTTCCCCCCTCTCCAAAATATCGCGCTGAAAAAAAAAACGTTACAGGTTCCGCCTTTTCGGAGCCTCTTTGGGGTCCTCCTAGTGCTCTCGTGGGCCGTGTTGGAAGCCTCTGGGGCGATGTAGATAGAAACCGTATTGGGCCTGTGGGGGCCTCTCTGGAACTGTCCAGGCGCACCTGTGGGCCGCCTGGAAGCTTTCGCGGACCCTTTTGGGCGCTTGGGAGCTTCTCTCGGCCAGATGAGTCTGCAGGCGCCCCCAGGAGAACCAACGCCCCACATCCAAGTCGGCTGGCCCAGGCTCCCAGAGGGGAGGGGTTTGGGGAAGGGCGGGTATCTCACGGGCGAGGAGATTGAAAGAAGTCGGCAAACTTTCAAGTCTCCTGGGTCGCTTCGAGATCATCATCAGGACGCGCCCCAGGATATTGAGAGAGAGAGAGGGAGAGAGAACAAGGCGGGACGAGGAAAGAGGGAGGAAAGAAGGAGTGGTTGGAACAGGAGGTCGAGGGAAGAGGAGGAGGAGGAGGAGGAGGAGGAGGGAAAGGAGGAAGAGGGAGGGGCTGAGGAGGGACTGGATGAGGAGGGAAGGATTGAGGAGGTAAGGAGGGCGGAGGGAGGGAGAGGGGGAAGGAAGGAGAGGGGAGGAGCCAGGAAGGAGGAGGGAGGAGGCAAGCGGTGGAGGAGGAGGAGAAGGGCGGAGGAAGCAGGGAGGGCAGAAGGAGAAGCAGAGAGATCAGGAGTGGAACGACGGAGGATAGACGACGACGACGACGACGACGGCGATGACGACCGCGACGACGGTGACAACGAAGACATCGACCACGACGACAACCCGACAGCGGCGAGGACGAGGGCGACGGCGACAACGGTGGGGGCCAAAGCGACGGCGACGGCGACGCCCAAGACGACGAGACGATGGCGGAGGCTCAGGGCAGCCTTGACCTGCAGACCATGGCCTCGGCAGTGGACCACCCGCTGTCCGAGGAGGGCCGGGTGCAGGCGGAAGCGCTCGGCGAGCGGCTGGCGGCAGCCGCGAAGCAGAGGCAACGCCACCGCTGCCGCCGCCGTCGCCCTCGCCGTCAGCGCGATCGTCCTGGTCCTCCACCCCTCCTCGTCTTGCAGCTCCTCCTTCAAAGGCGTGCCTGTTTCTGCGCCGGAGGCAGTGGCCCTGGAGCCCAGATCCGCTCCAGGTCGGCCGCCCGACCCCTTCGGGGCCCGTCCTGCCCCATGTCGCGTGGAGCCCCTGGAGGGCCTAAAACCAAGGAGTACGATGATGGGGAGGAGGAGGAGGAGGAGGAGGAGGAGGAGGAGGAGGAGGAGGAGGAGGAGGAGGACGAGGACGAGGACAAGGAGGAGGAGGAGGAGGATGAGGAGGAGGAGGCGGAGTTCTTGCCGCCGCGAGGGACCCGAACGGCATGGCGATGTTGAGGCCCGACGTGGTGTGCCCTCCTGTTCATCCCTCCCCTTCCTCCTCAACCTCCCCCTTCTCATTTATCCTCCTTCCTCTGACGACAACCACGACCGCGACGACGAAGAAAAAGACGACGCTTCGTCCATCCTGCCTCCTCCCTCCTCGTCGGCCGCCTCCTCCTTCTCCTCCTCATCAACCTCCTCACCGACCTCCTTTTCATGCTCCCTCCCTCTCCCCCTCCTACACCTTCCCATTCGTCCCAATTGTCCTCCTCCTCCTCCTCCTCCTCCTCCTCCTCATCATCATCATCATCATCATCATCATCATCATCATTATCATCCCTGCTGCTGCTGCTCCTCCTTCTCCTCCTCCTCCTCCTCATCATCCTCCTCCTTCTCCTCCTCCTCCTCCCTGCTTATCCTCCTCCTCCTCCTCCTCCTCCTCCTCTCCTCTCCTCCCTCCTCCTCCTCCTCCTCCTCCTCCTCCTCCCTGCTGCTCCTCCTCCTCCTCCTCCTCCTCTTCCTCCTCCTCCTCCTCCTCCTCCTCCTCTCCTCCTCCTCCTCCTCCTCCTCCTCCTCCTCCTCCTCCTCCTCCCCTTCCTCCCCTCGTTCCTCGTTTCTCGCCCCCCCCCCCCCCCCATAGAGGTACGTGTCGCCACTGACGCGCGCCTTCCAGACCGCCGCCATCGCGCTGGGGCCGCTGCTTGCCGGGCGGGCAAAGGAGCCCGGGCGGGGGTCGTCGTCCAGGGGGGGGCGGGGGAGGAGGGTGGGGTGGCTGGGAGGGGGAGGGAGGGAGGGATGCGGAGGATGAGGAGGTGGAGAAGGAGGAGGAGGACTTGTGTAAACCCGAGGCGTATCAACGATGCTGGAATACGCCCTCCCTCCAAGTTCCCCCGTCACTGGTTCCTGCGAGAATGTGTTTTCATGGCGGGAGGTGCCCCTGTCCAAGACAACCGGTTGATAATCCCGCACAAAACACAATCCTTGGGATTTCAGCGCAGCGAATTAACGTGATTGCTGCGTCCAGCACACAATTCCTGGGACTTCAGCGTCGCGAATCCATTGCTGCTTCCTGACATTCGTAACTCGTGCCAGGACACTCTTTCCTCCTACTTCAACCATGCGAACTTTTGAACTGGTTGCAAATAATTAAGACGAGTGTGCGCGTCGCTGAGGCGAATGCCACATCTTGAAGAGGTGATGGCCTCTATTCCTGGAGCTGCTGCCAGCTTTTAAAACTAGTATGCGCGGCGCTGATGCGAGAGAATCATTCTGACAAGTGTCAGCCCTTCATCTTTGAAAGTGCCGAAGACTTGTGAGACGAATGCGCGCGGCGCTAATGCCCTAGCTACATATTTACCTATACGACCGCCCTTCGGGTGATAAGGAGGTTTTGGGGGGGAGAGGGGGGGGGCCAACATGTGATTCAATCGATCTCACTATCGAACTCACTCAACGGGACACCACGGGACACCACGGGACACTCGTCGATCTCACTATCGGTCTCACTCAACGGGACACCACTGGACACCATGGGACACCACGGGACACCGCGGGACACCTCTCGATCTCACTATCGGTCTCACTATCGATCTCACTCAACGGGACACCATAGGACACCACGGGACACCTCGGGACACCACATCGATCTCACTATCGATCTCACCATCGATCTCACGATCGATCTCATTCAACGCGACACTACGGGACACCACGGGACACCGGTCGATCTCGTTATCGATCTCTTTTTTTTGACGTGCGAGAGCGAGCACACGCGCAGCCGCGGCGCTCGACCCCGCTCAAAGGCTCAATCCGGGACCTTTGGGAGCTGCGCAATGCGTTGCGCCGCCAAGCATGCAAACGCCTCCGCGCTGCCACCCGCGCGGGGCAATTCGCCAAGGAGCAGCGCCGCCTGGCACCGCGCCGGCAGACGCTCCCGCCAGCCCGGGCACGCGCTCCCCAGCATGCTTGCTGCCGATGCCGAACTGTCGTCGCAGCGGAGGCACAAGACGTGGCCCGACCCGTGCGCGAGGGCGTGGGGCCACCAAGAGCGGCCGGCGAAAAACGCGGCCAGCATGTCCCCCTTGCTGACGGGCGCGTCCGTTCCGCTGCGGTGCGGGCAGGTCGGCGCTGGCGTCGCCCGGCCAGCGGGGGCGTCGGCCGCCCGGCGGACGCCGCGCGGGCCCGGGTCCCGCGGCGCACGTTGCGCCAGTCGCGCGGCTGGCGGCGGGCGGCGGGCGGCGCCGCCGCCAGGGCAGCCAGCTGCGTGGCTGCGAGCACGCGCTGCGCGGCCTCCAGCTGGACTCCAGCTGCTCGAGCTCCCTGCGGCGCGCGGCCACAGCTGCTGGTGGGGGTGCGCGCTGCGCCGCGGCTGCCCCAGCGTTGCCGTCGGCCGCAGGCGGTCCCGCTCGCGCAGCCCGCGCTCGCGCGCCTCCACAGGCGACAGGTGCGCGGGGACCCACCGGGCCCTGAGCCTCCCGCTGCGGAGAGCCTCAACCACCTGCAGCCAGAGGTCGGCGTGCTCCCACTCCCGCGGGTCCGCGCTGGCCGCGGCCTGAGCGCAGCAGCGAACGACATACTTGCTGTCGGAAGCGAGATCGTTGGGGTCGCCGACGGCGCGCGCGGCCGCCACCACCGCTGCGACCTCGGCGCGCTGGGCTGTCTGCAGCCCGTCCACCGGGCCGCCGAGGTTGGGCTCGCCAGCGCCCTCGCAGCGCAGACCCCAAGCCGCGCGCGCCAGCATGGGGTCTGTCGGGTGGATGCACGCGCCGTCACTCCACACAGTGCGGCGGGGCGCGTCGGGCTGCAGCTCGGCCTGCGGCGGGAACAGCGGGTCGCCGCGGCCGGCGGCGTCGGCGAGGGCAGCCAGGAGGGGCGGCGCGGCCAAGACTCCCGTGATGGCGACTCCTGCGGGCAGCTCCTGGCGGAAGGCAGCTGCGTCCGGGGACGGGGCGCCCCGGGAGGTGAACGCTGCGGCCAACGCCGCGTGCCGCTTGCCCTCCCGCGCCGGACACACCCAAAAGCGGTGCTCGCGGTCCTCATCAGGGGCTAAGCCACAGTGCGGGCACGTCGCCGCCTGGCCATTCCACTTCGCCGCGACGGATTCCGTGACGACGCTGCCGCAGAGGACACTGCGCAACGCCCCAGCGGCGTCGGCCCCAAGCGTACCACCCTCGAGCAGACAGCGCGTCGCCCAGCGGTCCACGCCGTCGGCCAGGTGGGCGTAACACGGCCGGCGGGCCGCGACCTTGCGGCATTCGGACTGGGCCCACGCCGCCAAGAGGACCCGTTCGGTGGACCGTCTCGGCCAGTCGGCAGGCCGCCAGCCGCCTGGCGCCGTCGGCACGCCTCCCCAGCACTCCACGTCGCTGCCCAGACCCAGCTCGCGCATGCTGCGCAACGCGGCGGCCACGGGCCCGACGGCGCGCCCGGCCCCCGCGTGGACAGCCGCGGCCGTGTTGCGCCACAGAGAGCGGTCGAGCTGGCCAGACCGAAGCGCCCGCGCGACCCGCAGCACCGGCGCGAGCGTCACCACGGCCTTTGGGTCCAGGCGCCAGGTGGGGCCGAGCACGCCGAACACGATCTCAGCGGCCGCCCGGGGGCCGTGGCGAGTGGCGCCCCTGGCCGCGCGGCGGAGCTGCTCCAACTCGCGGGCAGCAGGGCGCCCGCAGGACGACCCGTAGGTGCCCGCGGCCGTGCCGGCGGCAGCGCCCATCAGGCAGCGCCAGCGGAAGGGCACCGGCAGGCGGCGGAGCCGAGCGAACCGGCCGCACGCCAGCTGCACCCTCGCTCGATCTCACTATCGATCTCACTTTTTGGGACACCACGGGACACCTCGGGGCACCACATCGATCTCACTATCGATCTCACTCTACGGGACACCACGGAACACCACGGGACACCTGCCGATCTCACTATCGATCTCATTATCGATCTCATTTGTTGGGGCACCACGGGACACCACGGGACACCTCGGGGCACCACATCGATCTCACTATCGATCTCACTATCGACTTCACTATCGATCCGACAACGTATTTACAACGGACCGCCCTCCATCTTTGAAGCTAGTGCATGTTTGAGGACGGGTGTGCGCGGCGCTAATGTGAGAGCTGTATTTTTGAAAACGGGTCGCCCTCCATCCTTGAACCGGTTGCAGACGTTGAAGAGGAATGTGCCCTTGGCATCGCTCGGACGTGTGCATGTTTCCTTCGGCGCGAACCATCGAGAAGCATCCTCGATCATTTGGTGAAAAAACCACGCACGAAACCGGAAAAACACAGGGAATGTACGTCCGAGCGATGACCAGTGCCATGCGCTAAGGCGAGAGCCACATGTTGAACACGGCCTGCCCTCCGTCCTTGAAGCTGGTGCAAACTTCAAACCTCCGGCGGGGTCTCAGAAGAAACTCTCGGCCCGCCCGACTGGCACGCCTGGGTGCGCGACAGACAGAAGTTAAGTACCCATAACGAGGAGGAGGATGAGGAGGAGGACGAGCAGGAGGAGGACGAGCAGGAGGAGGAGATGGAGGTGGAGGAGGAGGAGGAGGAGGAGGAGGAGGAGGAGACGGGGAGGAGGAGGAGGAGGAAGGAAGAGGAAGGAAGGAGGAAGGAAGGATGTAGGGATGGAGGGAGGGAAAGCGATGTGATGATGATCATGATGATGATGATGCTGATGATGATGATGATGATGATGATGAGGAGGAGGAGGAGGAGGAGGAGGAGGAGGAGGAGGAGGAGGACCAGCAGCAGAAGAGAGGAGGGACGAGGGAGGAGAAGGGAGAGGGGCGGGGGGATAAGTAGGAAAGAGGACGAGGAGGACGAGGACGAGGACGAGGAGGAGGAGGAGGAGGAGGAGTGAGGGGGAAAAGGATGATGATGACGAGGAGGAGGAGTGAGGAGGCGGTTTACCAATGTCGAAGACGCCTACGGCGAATCACCGCCGCCCTCTGCCTTGTTGGAAGCGCCTGCGTGGCCGAAAGTTTGGTTTGAGCTTGGCCAAGCTGTCGGGCCACGTGCTCCCCGAGTGGGTTTCGAAAGCTTTCGGGGAACACGGAGTCGGGCGGGCTATCGGACCAGGTGGTTTCCGAGTTTTCGGGTTTCCTGGAGGACGTCTTGGAGGGTTCTTGAGCCGTCTTGGAGGCCTCTTTCGGGCCGTTTGGGCAGTCTTAGGCCATCTTGGGGCCATCTTGGGCAGTCTTGGGTGCATCTTGGGGCCATCTTCGCCGTCTTGGAGGCCATCTTGGCCGTCTTGGAGGCATATTGAAGGTCATCTTGGCCGTCTGGAGGCCAGTTTGACCCTTTCGGGTCTTCCTGGATGTCTTGGAGGGCTCTTGGGCCGTCTTGGAGGTTTCTTGCGGGCCTTCTGGGCAGTCTAAGGCCATATTGAGGCCATCTGGGGCCGTCTTGGGTGCATCTTGGGGCCATCTTCGCTGTTTTGGAGGCCATCTTGGCCGTCTTGGAGGCATCTTGGAGGCCATCTTGGCCGTCTTGGAGGCCATCTTCGGCATCTTCGGGGCCATCTTGGGCTCTTGGGCGATCTTTGGCAATCTTGGGCCATCTTGGCCATCTTAGTGGGCTCCTAGCCCGTCTGACGCCGTCGGAAGCCGTCTTGGGGGCCACTCTGGGCCGACTTGGGGCCCTCTTGGAAAGCTCCAGGGCCGTCTTAAAAACCATCTTGGGCGTCTTGGAGGCCTCTGAGGCCGTCTTGGAGCCCTCTGGG